TTTATAATATTTCTGATTTAAATAAATGATATATATTTAAATAAATGAGTTTATACATAACTAGTGACCTCCAGCGACTTCGTCCGCGTTTTCCATTATTTCTTCGCTCCTAATAGTTGCAGCGTGATGTTATATAGCCTAAAGCCTTCCTCGATAAATGGTTTATTCAACACAAAAAGAATTATTCAATTCGAACCAGGAGTTCTTGAGATTAGCGCGTTCAAACAAACAAACAAACTCTTCAGCTTTATAATATTAGTATAGATATAAAACAAAGTAGCTTCCCGCTGTCTGTACGCTGAGATGAAAATGAGAATTAAGTATTATATATTTAGATATAGAAGAATGACACATTAGTACATGCTCATCCACTTTTCGCGTTAGAAAATACTAGTAATAAATCATTTAAAATAATCCTTATCGATGTTAATAATGTTTTGAACGGTTATAAATAAAGAAGAACGGATATTACAATATCAACGTGTTATTTTGATACATTGTTTATAAATGAATTATTGCTTGTTATTGAAAAGATAAGCTTACTAAATCGGTCATTGACTCCGTTGGGGTTTAAGATAAGTATCAACTTAAATCGATAATAAACTCGGTATTAAAAAAAAAGTAACGGTAAAATAAATATATCCAAATCCCTTAGTTTTTTTTTTATGGGATAGGAGGCAGACGAGCAGACGGATCACCTGATGGTAAGTGATTACCGTCGCCCATGGACACCTGCAACACCAGAGGGGCTACAAGCGCGCTGCCGGCCTTTGAGGGACGAATATGATCATAGGGAGGGGTTGGGCCTCCGGTACCCTCACTCACACGACGAAACACAACGCATGCGTTGCTTCATGTCGGTTTTCTGTGAGGCCGTGGTATCACTCCGGTCGAGCCGGCCCATTCATGCCGAAGCGTGACCCTTAGTAAATAATAAATATAACGCATCATCACATACACAGAAGGACCAACAGACCAACTGAAAGAAGTGTCTGATATGTAAGTTAGCTAAGGTTACAAATTACTTTTTCGATGATATTTGCTATTATTGTTTATTTTAAAGTATATTTGTTGTTCACGTGTTTTGTGACGCCTCCGCCTCGTCAGAATTCGGCTTTAATTTTAATGCCCACGTGACCTCTTGGGTCATTGTCCGTTTTCTCGTCTGTCTATAGTTCTATTAAGAGTGTTTTAGTACATTTTCTATAACTAAATTCTCATGGGAATAAATGGTTCAATTATTATTATTAACCAATAAACAATTCAAAAATCTGTTCTGCCCCCTTACTCTCGAACGCAATCGCTAACGATCGACATTGCAATTGTGCCACTCCGCACTCTTGATTGGTTCACTAGCAAACTCAATATACGCATATATAAAATTTTTTTTTATGTTCGTTTTCTTTTAAGATTCACATTTGAGAGATCTCTGTGATGGCGTCCGTTTCAACTGAAAGCGTTATGACACAAAAGAGCGTCCTGACCTCGCTTTTAGGGTTATCACCGCTGCAAAAGGAAAAAAAGATTGGGAAAAACACGTGCGGTAAGAAAACGGAAAACGTTTAATAAATTATAACGACTCTTTACAAATACTAAACGAAAATGGAATGTTTATATTATCCGAATCAAATATTCGTTAATACAAAAAAGCATCACCATCAGCCTTATGAGGTACAGGTTTTCCTTATGAATCCAATGGAATAGGGAGAATGGGCCTTGATCTACCACTTGGGTCCAATGCGGTTTGGTGGGAGGGAGTAAATAAGGCCCAACAGCTTAAAGTGCCTTCCGAAGCAGTGGAGAGTTGGAGTTTAAAAAAAAATTGGTCACCCATCCTATGGCTGACCTCTGCAAACGTTGCTTAGCTTCCGCATAGAACACCGAACGCGTTATAAAAAAAATATTAAAATCAGTTTCTTTTTACATAATTTTCCCTTATATTGCATATAAACTTTTTCGGTAAACCTATGAGTTCCTTTTTTGTTTCTAACATAGATATCAGATTTCTGCTTCGTGGTTGATGTTTAAATATAAACTCTTTCGTTGTTCGTTAATGGTCCATAATTATTCGCACGCGACCGCCATTATCCGAATCATTGTTCCTTTCGGTCGCATGCTAATTATGTTTAATAGAAACAGAAATAATTCAATGCCTATAAGCTGTTTCTTGGATCAGTATAATACAATCTATAATAATATTACAAAGAAGTAAATTGTCTTGATTTCAGTTTCTTGAATAAAGAATAATTTTATTTTCCAATTTTAATATGTTTATAAATCTTTTGAAGTTAAAAAAATATATTTTGTATTGCACATTTCAAAGATACGGAATTCTCTGAATTAACTAGCTGTTTAATAATTATATTTTGAACTAGATTTCCAGTGGGATAAACAGTAGCCTATACGTTAATTCAAAATACTAAAACCACTATGCATAAATAGAGACTTCAGCACTTGTAGTAATAAGTTTCATGCAATGATCAACTCTAAAAACAACCCAATAGGGTTAGGGTAGGTAAAGTTTGACAAGATTAGCACTTGAAGTTTCAATAAACGAAAATTTAATTAACAATTACAAATATACATATAAACAACAGCAGTATGAAACAACATAGATCACATACAAATGCCACAGTGGACAGCCCTAGGCGAAAACGGAAGTGGGGAACCGGAAATGGCGCAGACCGGAAACGCGAACCCTTTGCCCTTTGTTTATCGAAGGTTTCTCACAACTATTGGGTAGGCTCTACCGGAAGCTGGCAGCGACAACCCACAGCAATTCCTATTACTAAATAGATTATGTTTACGCTCTGAATACAATTACACTATTGAAAAAGGAATTATATGTCACATTTCAACTTTCAACTACACAGCGACATTTATCGTTAATATAAAACATGTGAATAGCCATGGATTATAGTTTTGCACAAAACTTAGCTTTTAGATAATTTCCGTGGCTGAAGCAGAGCCCCGAGCTCGATTCCTGATTGAAAATGGACTTATCTGCATTGTCTAAAGGATGGGTATTGCGATAGCTTTGTTGTTCACATTTCTATAATTCAATTGTCAACTTTAGCTACTGAAAGACACATTTTACTATTTAATCGATATAATAATGACAACCCAGCAGTATATTGGCGCGAAATTGATCAAACGTCTAAGTGACAGTGACAGCTAGCTGACAGATAGGGATACCCGTAGTGAAATCGACGATCAGTGGTGCCAGTAGTAGTCGATCTTTTTCCCTCTAATAATACTTAGTTCGGGATCTGAACAATTTATATTTGACCCAACCGTGAATCGAACTCGAGACCTCAGAGATGGCGATACTTTGAAACCGGCGTGCGAGTCACTCGGCTACTTAAGTCGTCACTGCAATAAAGACTTATTAATATTTTAATTTAATTAAGATTTCGTTCTCCCGAACATATCCATTATTCATAAAGCTACTGAGGTTAATGATTAATGAAACTGCCTTTTCATTAATGAAAGTGGTGATTAATTTTATATAAATGCTGTCGCCGCACTAAAATATCTTTATAGGTAAACCGGTTTTGGTTTTTCCACAATTGGAATTATATATATCTATATAATTTACCATCACCATCATCACCAGCCTATTAACGTCCCCACTGCTGGGGTTCAAGCCTTAGGACTGGAATGGACCATGAGCCATCACGCGGTATCAGTGCAGATTGGTGGGTAATAGTTGCTTAACAACCATATGGCCTTGGCATGACGCCACCGAGCTCCATCCATGATTGAATTATATAAATACTTTAAATCTATAATTCACTAATTGTTTCTACTTATTCGATTCTATCCATAGAGGTTGGATTTTAACAAGTATTGGGAACATTTAAATGCTATGTGATGATTAAAACATTATTATTACTATTATAGTACTATTGTATTCCTGCACGAGTAGCATGACGTCGACTTTAAGAAATGTTTCGTCTATATACCGTCGCAACTGACCTGCAATCACTAGTTGCGTCTTAACAATCCAACTGTCACTCTTTTTAGGTGCCCCTCTACAATATCCCACTCTCGAGAACTAATAATATTATTCTTCGATAAAGTTACAAAAACAAATTCGCATATCATTAATATTACGAGAAACACGATCACCGACAATCCCTTAACAATCATCTTACATTCCTAATTGGTACTACCGTTCGTTACCAAGACAAAAACCCAACATATATACCCTATTATTTTTTTATCCAACATTAAAAATAATGCATTGCCAAAAAGGTTTCAATCTTTCGTTATCCTCTCATCGCCATATAATCTATATTCATCCCGGTGTTTTCGACATATTTCTCCTTTATTTATTTAGACGTCCAATGTTGCTTACTTTTGTGTATTTCATAAATAATATAATAGGAATGACGTCAAATTTTCGTTTGTCTGTAAACGCGTTTTTTTCTTCAAGTAATCAATAAATTACGTCTATACATTCATTTGAAATGTCAACATAATTGTAACGTAGCGAGACCCCATTCCTCAAGTATAATGCCGAAGTAAAAATAAAACGTATCTAATATTTTGTAATTATCTGACTGATGGACTAAATATATTTTTTTTTTTACCCAGGCATTAAAGGCATTAATGTAACAAAAATCTACATGAAAATACTCGACTGGGTAAGTAAGCGTAACGCGAGTGCCTTTATATCAAAGGAGGCTTTTTAGTAGGATTGATGTAGTACGTTTTTTTTTATTCATATCCTTATTAGGAAATAACGTACAACACTTCAATCGCTTATTTATACATGTTAATACTATATTTACGAGTACCACACATATGCTGAAATCACAATATAACACTCAAACATCGATTTAAACTGTAGTTCAAACAAATCTAGCGCTTATAGAATTAGTATTTATAAAGCTGTATAAATATCGATTCAAATATGCTGTAACTAAGCTCACGTTTCAGTACTTTTAAGTAACGATAATGCTGTATAAAAGAGCTATTATATAAATGATATTTACCTTTATAAATCTTTTGGCTTTCGTTAATAATCCTAATGTTGTGTGTCGTGAGGTCTCCGGCCCTAGGGGTACCATGTCCTTGAGTTTTTCCAAGCAGCATCTGAGATGTGCTCTCCTGGAACAATATAAAATATTTTTTAATAAAACTCGACACTGCTATATGACTCGATAAATTCCAAATCTAAAACACACTGTAATAGTTCGAAATTGGTTAATTGTATTCACATAAAATCACTTGTAACATCTATTTAGGTACAATTATTTGTTAATTACTGTCCGAAAATGATTATTTTGCCGAGATTTAAATGTAGATTTTACAAAAAGCAATGAATAAGATTTCAATGTTTATATCGAGCTACAAGAAACACAAATCCAGTGAAAAATATTCACGCATTGTTTTTGTCTCATGCGTCTTGCTTTATGACGTCGTCACAAAACCGCTTTGGTCTGACTGCCATTAAATCACAGTGGTTCGCACGCCGGTTTCAAGGTGTCGCCATCTCTGAGGTCCCGGGTTCGATTCCCGGTCGGGTTAATGTAGAAAATGAACTTTTCTATATTGTCTCGAGTCTGGGTGTTGTGTGATCTCCGTTGTCTTAGATACTCCATAATACGGGGGCTTTAGCTACTAATCTTGGAATCTGAGCAATGTATGTGATGTTGTTAAATATTTATTATTAAAATATCACAGGAGCCATTATTAATTAGCGTTTCGTAAGTAAAATAATTATTAAAATCGGTCCAGTTTTTTTTTAAATTTATTCCTCCACTGTTTATTTAAAAAATTAACGCTGAAAATCTAGCAGAGATGTAACATACTGATGAAATCGCTCACTGAATACTACAGTGGCACAACTCAAAAACCATATTTCGAGAAACGCTCTCCGAAGTTATGAAAATTTAATATATTTATAATTAGGAAAATCATTTTTTTTAGCATAACAGTTAAATCCTTTGTATTATATTATTATTGTTATGTTTTTTATTTTTTCTTTAAATTATTTATGGGATACCACCAAAATGTTGTGGCGTTTTCTCGAAATAATGGTTTTTGAGTTGTGCCACTGTAGTATTCAGTGAGCGAAATATAAATGTAACATATTGTTTCTCTTTCTCTTCCAAGAACGCGACCGGCTCTCTATGTCCAAGAATACATCTTCCAATGTCGGTCAACAAATTATATATAATTCGTTTCATCATACTACTTTGATATCTACTTTAATAACGACGAACGAATGATAAAGAATGGTTATTATGGACTCAATGATTTCTTCCAAATTTATACACCAAATGCTATTTTTATTTATATAATTAAGGAGCAAACAGTATATACGTATTGCATGAGCACAAGATATTAACAAAAATAACCTACAGTTCCCTATATTAAAAATAAAAACACATAAATATTCTTAATAAAAAATGCTTAAAAATCTCAGAGTGCGAGGAATAAAGTGGTCAAATATGTAAACACATAAACGTGGCATGTCAAAGTAGTAATATGAAACGAAATATTGCCATAAGATCGTTAAGATACGATCTATCCGTAGATGGCTAGAGTTAGGAGTTCGCACAGGTCACTATGGAAGTGAAAAACATTATATTTATTGATATTATACTTTATTAGTACTAGTACCGGGTGTTTGTGCGCGGTAAGCAGCGAGCACGTTAAGAGCACACTCCGCTTGTAATTTAGCCACTAAAATGCACATTAGCCACCAGTTCCGCCGACTCTGCACAAGCGAAATGTGCCCGCAATTTGCGGTGACCCTTACTATTGTCGCGTGTTTTATCGTGTGAATGAATAGTAGGCAATGTCCATCTGGCATTCTGTACACACATCAGCAAAAAAAACGTTTAATTGCGACTCGGACAAAGTTTCCGTACAATATTATCTATGAAAATGCCAATATAATCACATATACGGACTCTTTAACTATTTATTTCATTCTGTTTTTAGTATTTTATGGCAACAGAAACGCACAATCGGTGAAAATTTCAACTGTCTAGCTATCTCAGTTTGTGAGATACAGCCTGGTGGCGGACGGACAGCAGAGTCTCAGTATTAGGGTTCCATTTTTACCGTTTGAGTAAAGAACTTAAAAAAACAAGAGGCATTGTTCTAGGTGACGAGGGAAGAGGAAAAACTTTATTGACAGCTGGTGCAGACGGATAAGCCGACAACCTAGTTATCGTATAAACGGTCCGCTTTTCCTTTTTCACCGTGGGACTCTAAATTTTAGATAATACATTTAGAATAAATCATCAGCTTTTATCGATTTACACCAACGCCCTCTAAGAACAAATTACACTGAAAGCAGATCTAAAAATAATAAGTATCGAACTGAAAAGGCTTAACAAAATATTATTATATATAGATAACCACTTCTGCTGTCAAAACATCTCAAGGTTTAAGATTAATATATAATTTGAAACGTTAGTCTCAAATTATTCAGATGTTCATAAAACTTCCAAATTGATATAATAATTTCAGACATCTTAAAATTAATTGGCTGTTTATAACAAAGTGCCCTCCACAATTCAAATAAAAAGAATATAAAATTCTTTAGAAAATGGGAATTTCAGTTGAGAATAGAAAGAAAAAGCTTTTTAAAGAGGATTAATAAAATAATTATAATACATACTAATAGCTCTACGTTCCCTAAAATATGGTCGAACAAAGCGATGGCTGGCCAATGAATCATGTTCGTGAACGGATGGTGCTAGTGGAGATGAATCTGCTCTGGACTGTTTATACTATTTTATTATAATGTATCGGTGAGTTTGTTCTATTTGGCTTTATCTATGTTGCCAAGAAGAATCCAATGATTCTACTTGGTAATGTGGAGAAGTCGTCATCGATTGAGATAGGATTAGATACCAAAGTGCCAAAATAGTTGTCATACCATCTTAAATATTATAAATATTAACTTTAGCACCATCTATGATGAAAATAATGGAAATGTGCCGTTCCAATTTTAAAATAAAAGCTTACATATGCGAAAAGCGTTCGAATAACCGAAGTAAGTTCGCAAATAAGCTTTGTTAGTTGATACCGGTGCGCGCACCGGCACCGCTCACTCGCCTGAGACCGCTAATTTGTGACAATTCGTACGTACAGCAAATTGAAATGAAAAATAATTCTTTTCAGTGACCGAACGACATGGTTCGTGCATTACCGACGTCCAATACCGAAAGATAGTAAATCATTTGAATTTATTATTCCTCTTTGCGATCAACTACCTAAACTCGACGACGCGTCGTTCGTTTCGTTCTGCTATGGCGAATATGAGTGTGAAAGGGACAAAAAAATAGTCTATAATAGTCTATAGCTTTTTACTGTCAAAAGATTATTTTTCTTCTATATGAAGATAAATCAAGAACACAATTATATGTAAATTAAAGTTTGTGAGGATGTATGTACGGATGCATATATGTTTATTATTACTTTTACACGCAAGAACTGAAATTAGATCCTTACTTCAAATTCTCGTCTATTGGGTAAAAACATATTTGCTTATGTTATATAGTTTTTTGCTCAACTATAGATGCGAGGCGTTAGAATTCAATGATACATCAATGAGGCAGTTTCGTTTAAAATATACATTTATGTCCATTAAAACACATCGGTAGAAGGTTAATTTTTCTTATTATCAACTACAAAGCAAAGTAATCTTTAAGTATTCTGGGGTAAATAGCAATTTTCTTCTTTATTACATTTTGGTCCGGTGTAACAAGAATATTGCCTTGAAAAAGGCCACTCTATTCCCCTAGAGAGCATTTCTCACAAATTGTTAATTTATAGCAATGTTATTCCACGGCGGGGACAGAGAAAATAAAAAAAAAATTGCAGAAGGGAAACCTGAGGAAACTAAGAATAACTGGATAAAGGTGGGCTAGGGTTGTCACATACAGTTTATTTCATTATTATTATTTTTTTAATTGACTAAGATATAAAAGCAGGACAATATCTTATAAACGTTTATGTTTGAAATTAGAAATAAGAGTGAGAAAAGTTATCCAATATTCACACAACACATAATCGAATAAAATATACATTAAATTACAGCGTTCAATTAACGGTGAAACATTCAGACTGTTTCGAGTTATTTTAATGTAACCTAAACTAAATTTAGAATATATATCACATACTACTTTAAACATTTCAAAACCAAAAACAGATAAAATTAAGTTTTAATATTTAAACGGCTTAGCCGATTTAGTTTACACATTATACTCTTAAAAATAAAATAAGATGAATGAACGTTGCAATGCCCTGTCAAAAACAATGCAGCGTCAAAAAGACGTAAGTCACAGTTGGATTGGATATATGATAAGTCAGTTCAAGATATGCCGTATATTGAGATAAAACAAGGGCGAATATTTTTATGAATTTTTCTATAAGTTGTATTTCTTTATCAGAAAGTAATTGCTGTTTACAATTTGACATTCTGACATATATTATTAGTAACATATAATAATTAAATTATAATAATAATATTTATTAATAAATTACATTTGGTTAGTATCACATTGTATTTAAAGTTAATGTGAACCTATACTATAGCTTATATATATATTTATTACATAGTTTCTACTATTTTTTTGCATACATTAACATTAGTTACATGATCTGTGTGTAAATATTTTTAGTTTAGACAATGAGATAATATGGCGTGGAATCTATCACGAATTGAATTTAAAACACGAAAAACCATCGAAACATCAAAGTAAACTCATATTTCTTGTCAACTTATCGGTTACCGAATGCTTTTTCAAAAGATAGTATGAAAACAAAATCTAAGAGATCGTTTACTATAACTTTTTATAATCTACGTACTTATTCACTATTAGCATATTAATTTTATAAAAACTGACATCCTTGACGGTTAATTTTTATATAAACAAACAGCAAAGTCTCCGCTATAAAAAGTATCCAACACAAAAGCTGCGCATCGTTAGCAAATATTAAATTAATAAACGAAATACTTCGTTAATTGGCAAATTCAGCACATCTCTTTAATGAAATGAGGGGCTAATGACGAAATGTTTAATTAGGACATTTTGAGGTGCATAATTATCAGTCATTAAGGATCCCTTATTCTTTGTCTGTTTTTT